TCCGCCTGTGATTTCCAGAAGGGTCCCTGCTACGCCGCAGCGGAAAAGACCCGTTTCATGCGGAGCTAGTCCCTCCAATTCAGAGGGAGTCCGCCATTGCCGGTGGCGCCACCCCGGAAGTCGGGCTCCTCCATACTTCTGTTTATCCCATTATTTCAAATGATTTCAAGACATGGGTCCGAGAAGCAATGCTTCTTTTCTGGGGGGGGGGGAGAGGTGGGGAAACTCACCACAAAGTAAGTTTGTTTGTTTGTTTGTTTAGTGCAGGCCCAGTCGCAGTGCCACACACACCCACACACCCAGGCAGCAACTAAATGTAAGATGTGATTAATAAACTCATGCAGACAATGATATGGATTAGAAATGTGCACAACTTTACTGGTTACAGATATAGGTGGGTTTTTGGCTCAGGCACAGGGTATATATCCGTTTCAGCATCCCTGGACAAAAAATAAATAAATCATTTTATAAAGGTAAGGGAACACTGTTCCCCTGAGCTCCTGCTCCAATAAAATTTTGTCCACACTTAATGGCAGATATCTATTGGGAGAAGGAACAGTTCCATTGTTACACTTAATAGAAATAGAAGAGCAAACAAAGCCACAGTTCAAGGTGCCTAAGTATTCTTTAAAGTGGTATGCAAAACAGCAACAGCAATACAGTGGTACCTCATGTTGAACAACCTCCAGGTTATGGAATCTTCGGGTTATGGCCGCAGCAAACCGAGAAGTGTAACTTCCAGGTTTTGCCACTCGCGCATGTGCAGAAGCGCTCTATCGTGCCGTGCGCATGTACTGAAGCAGTGTCTCTAGTTACGGATTTTTCAGGGTGCACACGGCACCCCAAAATGAATTAAATCTGTAATCAGAGGTACCACTGTATTCTAGCAAGGATACATTGAAATAGCAACTAGGGGCAAATGCACACCAAGTTTCTTTTAAAACCTAAAATGAAAGTGCTCCCAGGTCTCTGCATAACAACTTGTTCAACCTCATGAGCTCTGCTAGAAAGACGAGCTGTGGAGATGCTGCCAGCACACACACAGCACAGGAGGGAGGAGCAGGCAGGATTCCCTTCACAGACTTGCACCCCAGCCCTTTGCTATCACTGATGCAATGATAGTGCATTATTGGTGGGTTTATACTGGACCATCCACACATCATTCCACTTTCAGTTGTACTGCAATAATACCCCAGTGCTTTAGCATTATTGCAATCTGGAAATATAACAAAACAGCATATGGCTAACCTGACCAAACAACCTAGCCCGCCTCATCCCTCAAATAAGCCACAACACAATCAACTAAACACAACAAGCCAAGCTCAGGAACCCCTAACCTCTCACAATATCAATAAAAATAAATAAATAAATTTAGACAATCAACAGAATTGTTGGTGGAAAAAATGGTGAAATATTTGGGAGTGTGGTTGACAGCCAGAAATCTAAATATATTTAAAGATAATTATACAAAGGTGTGGAGTGAAATAGAGAGATATGAAAATATGGGGAAGGCTGAAACTATCTATGTGCGGAAGGATCTCTGCGATAAAAATGAAGATATTGCCAAGAATGTCTTTTCTATTTCAAACGATACAGGTGATCAGAGGGGCAAGTCACTTCAAACAATGGCAAAAGGACATTTCTAAATTTGTCTGGTGGGGGGACGACGACCCAGAATTAAATATAAATTGTTAAAGGAAGCCAAAGAAAGGGGCGGATTCTCCCTGCCAGACTTATAACTGTACTGTATTATGAAGCGTCCTGCCTATGCTGGCTACGGGGATGGATTTTGTTAAAGGATACAGATGTTTTGGATCTGGAAGGGCATGACAATAGATTTGGGTGGGATGCATATGTATGGTATGGAAAAACAAAGGTATACAAGGGATTCCTGAACCACATTGTAAGGAAATCAATTCAAGTATGGGAAAAGTATAAAAACTTACTGGAAACTAAAACACCATGGTGACTCTCCCCATTAGAAGTGATATCTGTTAAAAAAGTAAATATGAAAGGCGACTGGGCGACCTATCAAGACTTATTAATGGAGGCTGAAAACTAATTAAAAGTATTAGAATTTAATGATGTAAAACACTTGTTAACAGATTGGTTACAATACAATGTATTCAGGATAGATAGGAGAGTGGGCTTTGGGAAAGAATTTTCAAGGTTTGAAAGAGAGAGTAGATAATGATGATAAACTGTTATAAAAAACGTATAAATTACTGTTGGAATGAGAGATAAAGGATTAGGAAGTTAAGGTGGTCATGCTATACTGGGAAAAAGATGTGGAATACAGTACACCTTTAAATCAATGGGGAAAGTTATGGAAAGAGGACTTAAAAGTTACGGCTTGTTGTTCACTGAAGGAAAATTATATGAATAGGATGTACCAATGGTATTTGAGTTTGACAAAACTAGCAAAAATGTGTAAAAGTGCATCAAATGTGTGTTGGAAACGTAAGGAAAAGGAAGGTGCTTTTTACCACGTGTGGTGGTCCTATAGAAAAGTAAAAGACTTCTGGGAAATGATATATAATGAACTGAAAAAGATGTTTAAGACAACTTTTGCTAAAAAACCAGAAGACTTTTTACTTGGATTAACAGGGGATGGAATACCTAGGGACCTAAAAAGGTTATTTATGTATGCGACAACAACTGCAAGGATGTTGCTTGCCCAGAATTGGAAACAGGAGAAGATACCAACAAAAGAAGAATGGATAACTAAGATGATGGACTATGCTGAAATGGCAAAGATAACCACGAAGGTCAGAGATCAGAATGAGAAGAAGTTTCAGCAGGAATGGAAGAAATTTATAGACTTTTTTTAAATAAAAAACCCCCACTGTAAATCTATTAAAACGTTAGCAGGTTTGATATAACATTTATGTAATTAAATAATTGGAAATTAAGATAAACAAGAGGGAAAACAAAGAATCTGGAGATAAAATGAGATGCAAGAAATTATGTGGGGAAAGACTGGAATCCAGGGGTGGGGCAGGGGGGAGTCTATATTGTTTGTTTCCTCTTATTTGGAAAAGCATTGAATTTATGAATCATTGTGATTATAAAATTTGAAAAACACACACACACACACACACACACACACACACACACACATATATATATCCAATAAAAATAAAAAAGTAGGACAACAGCCTCCCTGCCCACTCATAATTTGAATTCTGGATCTGGCCTCCTCCCATTGCATGGATAACTTAGAGCCCATGCTCTAAACTGTCATGGAAAGAAACTGTATTGCAGCTTGGAGTTGGGATGCTTCTTTCAAGGTAGGGATTCTAGAAAAGTGTTTTCTCTTCTCAGATCATTATAACTACCTTAAATCTTGTTCTCTTTCCTGCTCCAAAATAGGTAGGTTAAAGAGGGAAATGGTGGCACTACCCAAAAATGTTGCTAAAGAAAGAAATGATCTGCCCTAATAATAATTATTATAGTAATAATAACTTCTACCAAGTGCACAGAAAGTCATCCTGTTTTTTGAGGAAACCCAACACACTGCAACATAAAGTAATATTTAAAAGCTTAATGAAACAGAAGCATCTGTGAATGTAGTGCATAAATGCTAACATTAACAAATTGCATAATAGTCTACAGTATATAAATAGGCTTGGTGGGGCTTCCTTCCATTGCTAAATATCTTAGATGGGGGGAGGGGTGTGGAGAGAAGAAGTTCAAGCTCCTTCAATGATTTAATTATATAATTCCAAGATGGAAAATGTTCACCAGAGATTTCTCTCACAGGCTTGCCCCTCATTGCCTCATGGAGCCCAGCCGAGGCTGCTGGGTGCTGCTGCTGGGTCCAGGGTTCGGCAGCAGGATGGGGCAGCCATGCTCCACAAGGTGACATACCCTAGCCCTACCCTTCACCACCCCACACTCAGCTGATCTGAGATTCCTGGATCCTGGGATCTACCGTGCAAAATGGGAGCCTCCGCAATTAGCTGGCGGCCAAAACAAACCTGAACTGTTCCAGGAAAATGCACGTGGAGAGAAAAGGGAGTGCTAGTTCCTGTTGGGTCACACCTTCTCCTGCTTGCAATTGGACATGCGGATAGCCAGCCAATCAGGTTTTTTAAAAAAAATGTTGATGGGGGGGGGGGAGATAAAAGGTTCTGGAACACAGTTCCGGTGAGTTCCAGCTGGAAAAAAAGCCCTGCCAATAGTATTTATTTTGTCCCATTGCTTTCCCCATAAAAACCAGCTGTTTACTGCTAAATCAGAACAAATGTTAATTCACGGAAAACCCAACTGATGTTTGTTCCAATTTAGCAGTAAAGAGCAGGTTTTTCTGGGGAAAGTGGCAAGACAAAAAAGCACCTCTCAGCCATAGTTTGAAATTATGTGAAATCACATGACAAGCAGAAGTGTGGCTGGGCCCTGAGTGCCCAACCAGGTGCCCTTGAGAAGCCCGTATGTGAGCTGAGCATGAAATCAACTACCCTCTTATGTTGTAGCTGCTACCCAGCAGCCTGTTATTTAGTCACATGCTGCCTCTGAATCTGGAGGTTCCATTCACATGTGCCAGAAGGCCTGGAGTTCCATTGGACTTTGCAGAGCTACAGATACTTAGGGGTTATCCACACTTCCTCTTGCCCCATTTCTTTACTCTAGGGGGAAAACTGCTCTTCAGTGCTCACATCAGAGCAACTGGCAATCTGACTTTTCCACTGGATTGCTGTTTGTTCCACTCTATCGCTAAAGAGTGGATTTCCCCTTGGAAAGGATTGGAGCAAGGGAGAAACCACTCAGACCTATGCCTAGAAAGCATGGGCCAAGTGGAAAGTGCTCAGACCAGTACTTTCTAAGCATGAAACAAGCCGAAGTCTGGACGAAGGAAAATTCAGAAACAAGACACAGCTCAAAACAAAAGCAAAAAAAGCATATATACCCTGTAAGAATAATGAGGTCCAGCTTTAGAGAGAAAAGTTAAGTTTAAATATATGACCCCTGACTTTCTGAGTGAAACAACTGAAGAATGGGGAAGGGCAGTAGCTCAATGGTAGGCCATTTGCTTTTCATGCAAAAGGTCTGAGGTTCTGTCCCCAGCATTTCCAGGTAGGCCTGGGGGAGACTGCTGGCTGAAACCCTGAAGAGCAGCTGCCAGTCAATGTAGACAATACTGGCTGATCAGACTAGTGATCTGACTCAGAAGAAGACAGTTTCCTGTGTTCCCATGACCGGAAGTGAAAGCTTGCCAATGGATGCTCCCAATTGACCAAACCAGACTGCTCATTTATTAGCTACAAATTTCATTATAAAGCACCCTGTTTCCTGCCACACCAAGTTACAAGCAGCCACATGGACCTTATGCCTGCTTCCGGCAGGAGAACTGCTGCTTGCAGACACTTTCGTGTCTGTTACTGTGAGGCTCTGGCTCCCCTTGTGAGCCTCACTCTACGCCTGAGCTCACATTGCATGTCTGCTTCCAGAACAACTGTCTACTTAACAGTTGCATCCGCGCCAAAAGAAAGCCAACATCTGGGAAGCAAAGAGGCAGCTTGTCTCATCTCCACCTCGACTAGCTCCTTGGTTGATCCTGCTGTCTGCTCCACCCCTCCAAGAAGAAAACACATGTCATGCACCAGCCCTCCTGCTAATAGACATTTGGCCGGGGGTGGGGGAAGCTGGATCCTTGCCTTGGGCTGGTACTCACGAGACCTGACTCATATTTCTTTCCACAGTAGTGACCACGATTGCCTACTGGGAGCCCCTGAATGCCTGCTATCAATTACCCTTGATTGACTCTGAAGTCACTGGGATCTCTCAGCCAGCAGAGGACAGATTGCTACAAAGGGCAGATCAGATGCCACAGAACAGTGCTGGAAAGGAAGGTGGTGGCAGGTGAAGGAAATAAAAAGACTGGGAGGAGGACCAAAATAGAGAATTTTTTCTTTCTTTCTTTTTTAAAAAGCAAGGCAAGAGGAAACAGAAGGGGGGAAAACACTTTTAAAAGCAGAACAATGGGTTGCATCCAATGCTAAATTAAAGTCACTTAGTATTATACAAGTAGTATACTGTCGTACCTTGGTTTGCATACATCTTGGTTTGCATACATTTTGGATTACAAACACGTCAAACCTGGAAGTGTGTGTCCTGGTTTGCAACCTTTTTTTGGATTACAACCCATTTTGGGGGGGATTACGGAGAAATTTTTTTTGAAGGCCCCATTGGCGAAAGCGCGCCTTGGGTTACAACCTGTTTTGGTTTACCAAGGGACCTCCGGAATAGATTATGGTTGTAAACCAAGGTACCACTGTACTCGTTCCACACCATTGGAAAGTTGTTGCACAAGACTATGCATAAGCAGGTTGCTGGTAACATTTGTGGCACAATCAGTTGCACAAGGTAGAGGTGGCCTGAAAGTTTGGGAACCACTTATCTATATGAAACTGTTGGAAGCAATCATCAGGTTTGTGACACACTGCCATCAGTATTTTAATGACACTCAGTTCTATAAAATCTGTCAGGAGAGGCCATGCATAAGCTGAACCAGTGCCTGGATGCAGTAGTGGGGTGAAAAGGCTGAAGATGAATCCTGTTAAAACAGATACACTATGGGCAAGAGCTTCCCAGGTCTGAGCACTGAGGAGCCTGCCTGATCTGGATGGGGTTGTACTCCTGGTAGCAAAGTTATCCCTGTCCAGGTAAAGGCGCAGTTGACACACCAGCTGAACCTAATTAAAGCTTCGGCTGATGCATCAACTGTGCACTTCCCTGAATGGGGACAACTTGGCCACAGTGACACATGGATTGGTTACCTCATGTCTGGACTACTGTAATGAGCTTTATGTGGAGCTTCCCTTGCAGCTGGTTCAGAACAGTGCAACTGAGATGCAGACTGCTATTCCATATTGGGCTAGTATCACACCTGTGCTGAAGGATCTGCAGTGAAAGGAAACACTGTTTTTTAGGTAACTTGGTCCAGAGTTATTTACGGCTTTGTAGCGCAAAATATGGTCTGAAGCTCAACATAAAAAAACAACTAAGATCACCTACTGGCAAATAGAAGGGGAAGAAATGGAGGCAGTGAGAAATTTTACTTTCTTGGGCTCCATGATCACTGCAGATGGTGACAGCAGCCACGAAATTAAAAGATGCCTGCTTCTTGGGAGAAAAGCAATGACAAACCTAAACAGCATCTTAAAAAGCAGAGACATCACCTTGCCAACAAAGGATCGTACAGTTAAAGCTATGGTTTTCCCAGTAGTGATGTATGGAAGTGAGAGCTGGACCATAAAGAATTGATGCTTTTGAATTATGGTGCTGGAGGAGACTCTTGAGAGTCCCATGGACTGCAAGAAGATCAAACCTATTCATTCTTAAGGAAATCAGCCCTGAGTGCTGACTGGAAGGACAGATCCTGAAACTGAGGCTCCAATACTTTGGCCACCTCATGAGAAGAGAAGACTCCCTGGAAAAGACCCTGATGTTGGGAAAGATGGAGGGCACAAGGAGAAGGGGACAACAGAGGATAAGATGGTTGGACAGTGTTCTCGAAGCTACCAGCATGAGTTTGACCAAACTGCGGGAGGCAGTGGAAGATAGGAGTGCCTGGCGTGCTCTGGTCCATGGGGTCACGAAGAGTCGGACACGACTGAACGACTAAACAACATGCAAGTAGCAATACCTTAAAATTGGTGTGGTGGCTAAGAGATAGCCTGGGCCTACATGGACAGAGATGGTTACATCTTGTGCACTTGTTCTTTTGGAGAGAATTCAGCCTCTGGGTACCAGAAGTTACACTGCTCTTGTCCTTAAAAAAAATTAATAAGTAGCAGCCCTACTAGACATCTTTTATTGGCAGCTATTGGACAAATCAACCCGAAATTTATTCTATCTGTGCTATCTTTTCCAGGCTTCTTCAGTGAAGGATCTAGACAAATGTTTCGGATCTGGGACCCAGGCCCTAAAACAAAGGTTGACAAAGAATCCTTGGTGGAGAATGGAAGAAAAGTGCTTCTATTCTCTTTAGCAGGGGTGTAGGCGGATTGGGGGGGGGCAGGGAAAGAAATCCATGCTCACATGGAAAGGGGCTGCTCTGGGTGTGGGTTTGCCTGTATGCATGTCCAGCAGGTGCAGGGAGGAGAAGTATGCATTAATCAAAGTCTCCATAGCAGAGGATCTTTTTGTTGCTGTTCATGCTGTTGCTGCTCAGAGTCTTGGCAAAACACAGTAATTAGGGGATAGTTTCCAGCTGCAAAAGAAGGGACAACCCCTTCTCATTTGAGTAGGGTGTGTGTTTGTGAGTGTGATGGATGATGGAAGCACATATGTTTCCATATTCAACATGCAGGCTTTCTAGATGACACAGCTCTGCAAATGGGGGGAGACACCACCTGTCCTACGTATTCTGGGGGGAAAGCAGAAAAAGGCCTCATCCTAAATAATGACAGGGACTGGGCAAAGTGTAGGGATGGTAGGATCTGTTAATTTCAGTTTTATCAGTTGGTCATTTTTGTAACCTTAAATTCTGTTCTCCACATTTTGCAGCAGTTTGTGATTTTTATTTTTTTATTTTTTTTAAAAGCCTCATGAAAACTAATTAGCAACCAAAGAACTTCAGACCAATATCCCTATTAAATAATGATGATAAGTTACAGTGGAACTTCAGTTTTTCAGCACCTCGGAAGCCGAACATTTTAGAAGCCGAACATCAAATAGCCAGAAGTAATTGCTTCCATTCTTGAACGCGCCTTGGAAGTCGAACGGCTTCCGCTGCGTGTTTTTCTTTTTTCTCAATGGATTTTGCCAACTGCACATTGCTCCTCAGTTTTTGAACATTTCGGAAGTTGAACAGTCTTCCGGAACGGATTACGTTTGAAAACCAAGGGTCCACTGTATATGCAACTATTATACCTAAAAGACTGGGAGAAGTATTGAACACATTTATCCACAAAGACAAAGCAGGCTTCTAGCCATTAAGACAAATAAGAAACAACATTAGGCACATCTTGAACATAACTGAATACCTAGAAAAGAGAAATGAAAGCAAGCAGCACTACTGTTCCTAGATGCAGAGAAGGTATTTGATACTGTCTCGTGGGTTTTTATGAAGAAATTTATCGTATATATGGATTTTGGATTAGCATTTGATAACAGAATTAAAGCTATATATAAGGAACAGTGGGCAAACATAATCATTAATGGCAACATTATGGAGGAATTTAACATTTAAAAAGGTACCAGACAAGGGTGCCCTCTGTCTCCATTACTGTTTATCCTAGTATTGAAAGTGCTTACTAGGAAGATCTGTGAGGACAAGGGAATAATGGGGATTCATGTAGGACAGCCACTCTATAAGCTCAAACCCTTTGCAGATGGCATAGTAATAACATTAGGCAACCCATTGGAAAGCTTACCTAACACATTGGAGGTCATAACAACATTTGGTAATTTGGCCGGATTTTATATCAACAAAGAGAAATCCAAGATGTTAATTAAAAACCTAAGAAAGCAAGAAAAAGAAGAACTAGAAATGATATCAGGAATAAAAGCAGAAAAGAAAAAGTATCTAGGAGTATGGCTTGCACCCAGAAATTTGAATTTATTCCAAGATAATTATAGTAAAGCCTGGACTGAAATTTTAAAAACCCTCCAAAAATAGAATCAAATGAATTTGTCACTGTTAGGAAGAGTATCTGTAATCAAAATCAACGTCCTTCCCAAGATGATCTTGTTTCAATCACTACGAGTGATAAATAACAATAATTGCTTTAAGCAATGGAAAGAAGATTTATCAAACTTTATATGTCGGGGGGAGGGGAAAACCATGGATTAAATATAAAATTTTAATTGATGCGAAGAATAGAGGGGGGTTTGCCCCCCAAGACTTGAAACTATATTATGAGTCAGCATTTTGTGTTGGATGAAGGAGTGGATAGAAATGAAGAATGTAAACATATTAGACATAGGGGGAGCAGACTTAGTTTATGGATTGCATGCCTATCTTCATTACGATAAAGCTAAGGTACATAAGGGATTCCTTAACCATGTTATAAGGGGGAGCCTACACAATGTCTGGGAAAGACATAAGAAAGACTCCCTGTTGGATTTC